TTTTTTTTCCTTTTAAAATTTTTTGTTCTTCCCTTTTATTTCCAAACTCTTTCAAAGGCCCCTTGATCATCTGCGATCCTGCTCACCATCTTAACCTTAATTCTCTCAGTAATACCTACACCATTCACTTAACCTGGTATACTCAACAAGCATATTTCCCTATAATTTTTACTGTCTCTTTTGTCCCCCTTTCCTTTATACAAAGAAACTATGGATGTTCTCCGCTAATCCCTATGTACCTTCTCTCTTTCATACATTTATTGAATTTTATGTAAATATATATATATATATATATATATATAATATATATATATATATATATATATATATATATTTTATATATATATATAAATATATATATATATATGCAATAAGATCAGAGTAAACAGGTGATTTCAGAATATGCAAAACAACCACTCTGAAAGAATAGAAAAATTCCAAGCGCTTTCGTGACTACTCACATTATCAAGGAACTATGAAAGTAAATTATTATTATTATTATAATCAAGGGGGAAGCGCTAAACCCGGAGGATTATACAGCGCCTGGGGGGGGGATGTGGAAGGCATTCAGGCTTAATTCGGGGAACTGGAGCACAGATCCAATTCCCTAAATCAAGAGCCCCTCACCAACATCAAGGAACCTTCCTTGAGGGGTATGAAAGTAAAGCATCCAAGGAAGCTATATAAGGGGTCTGGCCAACACCTCACTATCAGATCCCACAACGGTTAAACACCTGACGCGCGCCGGCCCAATTGGACAGGTCCTTTGCACAACTCACCAACAAACTATTCTACCCAAGAAAATTTAAAAATTATTATTTGTCCAGTGTATTATTAAATTCTTCCCAAATTCTATTAATTATAAATGGATCTAATTTATATAAACCAAAGGAAATATTCATATTATTGTCAAAACTGCTTTTTATGAAACAAGATTCAATTATATTCCTGTCGACCATGGACTTGCTTGATACTACTTTCTCAACTTTTTGAAAATCAGTTGGATGGTTAAAATCTCATACATGAATAAATAGAGCATTGGAATCTTGTCCAGTTCTAATGCTATATTTATGTTGTTTTAATCTTAGTTCGAGATTTTTGCCAGTTTGACCGTAATAAACTTTATCGCAAATTTTACAAGGAATCTTAGACTCATCCATCAGCATTTTGGGGGGAATTCTTTATCGAAAGTTTTTTTTTACTGTATCAAGATTTTTAAATACAACTTTAATATTAAAAGTCTTAAGAAGAGAAGGCATATCAACCAAGTTTTCATGGTAAGGGAGAACCAACATATTTTTAGTTGAATAAGGCTGGTTGTCCCTTTTTGGATTGTAAAAAGTATTTCTATCAACTTTAAAAGATTTATCAATTACATTTCTTGGGTATTTTAAATCATTACCTATTTCATAAATTTTGGATATTTCCTCATCTATGAACTCAGGACTACAAATTCGTAAAGCTCTCAAAAACATTGATGAGAAAACGAACAGTTTGACTCTATCTTGATGCGAGGAATAATAGTGGACATAGGAACAGTTATTTGTAGGTTTTCTGTAAATTTTAAATTTGAATTCATTATTACCCTTAATAATTAAAACATCTAGAAAAGGCAATGAGTTATTTTCTTCAAACTCAACAGTAAAGTTTATAAAATGGGCTAAGCTATTTAATTTTCCAAAGGGAAATGGTGTATATCTACATTTTTGGGCATAAGACACAAAATATCATCAACATATCTGAACCATTTAGCTCTATTAGGGAGGATTGTGTTAAGCAACCTTGTTTCAAAAAATTCCATGTATAGGTTACTAAGAACAGGTGAAAGAGGATTTCCCATTGCCATACCAAACTTCTGAGTGTAAAACTTATCATTAAATACAAATTTTGCATCAACAATGCAAAGTTTAATAAGTTTAATGACAGTAGGAACTGGCAATGGTAAATCATAGTTAACGAGTTCTTCAGATAAGAAACTTAATAAATCATCAACAGGAACTTTCGTAAACAAGTAAGTAACATCAAAACTAACCATGTTAAAATCATTTAAGTCAGTCAAGGAGCTTAATTTATCAACCAAGTCTATGTTTTTTTTTAACATTAAAGTTAGAAATTTTGCCAACAATAGGGCTCAAAATATCAACAAGCCATTTGGATAATTTATATGAAACTGACCCTATGGAGCTAATAATTGGTCTGACTGGATTCCCTGGTTTGTGTGTTTTTATTAGTCCATACATGTAAGGTAAAGATGGATTAGTGGGAAAGTAAATTGTTTGACAAATTTCACCCTTTTGCCTTTCAGTAAAAAGTTTTATTTTTTTTAGGGGAAATTGCTTTTAAGGTTTTCTGGGGGAAATTTTTCCCCAATTTGGGAAATTTGGTTTCAGTATCATCTTAAGAGATTATTCTTTTTTTTTTGGTAACATTTTCTTTCATAATTACTTTTTGAAATTTTTTTTGTCTTTTTTAAAGAAAGGGGGCGAAAATTTTTTTATTTTTTTTAAGGGGTATCATAAGACAAAAAAAAAATCTTTGGGGGAAATTGGGGAATTTTTGGGTTTTAACATAGAGTATTTTCCCTTCCCTTTACTAAAAATTTCTTTTTCCTCAGAGGAAAAATCAGAAAAATTTTTCAAATTTTACAAAAGGTTTTTGGCAATTTCAATTTTTAAAGGGTTTTTTTAAAGTTAAAAACGGGGGCCCCAAAACCTAGAGCAGGGGTTGTATGTTTGTCAAAAATTTTCATCTGATAAGAAATTTAAAAAATTTGTTTTTTAGTATGCTTTGCCCAAATCACTATTTTCAATTAAAATGTCAAAATTATCTTTGTGGGTTTCTTGAGTTCAGTGAAAAATTCCCTTTCGGGTTTTTATTATAGCAATGATCCAACATATGTGTTTCCATTCTGATGGAATGGCCTGTTTAAAAAGGGATATTTTTTGTTTCCCCAATATTTTGAACTGTTTTCCTTCTCCTGTTTTTTAAAGTTTTTTCCCAATTGTTTCGAAGAAAAAATTTCCCTCAAAAAAATCAAAAAAAGGACGATCCTAAATGTCAAGGATTTAAATTGGGGTTTAAAAGGACTTGGGCAGAACTTGTTCTTTTAAACCCTTTTTTTAAAAAAATTAAGTCAAATTTTTTAAACCCTTGGGGGGCTTGTTTCCAAGGTGCAAAAAAAACTGTAAAACCCAAAAGTTATATGATTGGGAAAAGGGCTTATGGGGAAAAACATTCGAAGAGTCGTGTGGTATCCTTAACAGGGGTTAAGTTACAGAAAACAGGTGATTTTCAAAAATATCAAAAAAACCCCACTGAAAGAAAGAAAAATTTCCCAAATCCCCTTTTCGGGGACACTCACATTATCAAGGAAAAATTTTAAATAATACACTGGACAAATAAAAATTTTTTAAAATTTTCTTGGGTAAATTGTTTTTGGTGATTTTGTGAAAAGGACCTGTCCTTGGGGCCGGTGCGCGTCGGGTGTTTAACCGTTGTGGGTTTCTGATAGTGAGGTGCTGGCCAGACCCCTTATATAGCTTCCTTGGATGCTTTATTTTTCATAGTTCCTTGTAATGTGAGTAGTCAGAAAAGCGTTTTGGAATTTCTCTATTCTTTCAAAAGGGGGGTTTTGGGCATATTCTAAAATCCCCTGTTTTTTTGTGTTTCTTATTGAAATAATATACCACAGACTTTTCAGAAGGTTCTGATAAGTTTCCTAATATATGTCTTTTTTTTTTCCAACCAGTTTTCTTCTGCACTGTTTCAAGTCCCACAATTAAAAAAATTGGGACTTTTTTTTTTAAAAAATTGTTTTAAATAAACAATTCTCCCCCAATTTCCTCTTTTCCCCCAATAACCCCTTTTTACATGAGGGGATCGTCCTTTTAATGTTTTTTTATGAGAAAATTCTTCAGAGACATATTGAAATAACTAAAATCCCGGAGAAGGAAGAAATTCAAAAAAATTGGGGAAAAAAAAAAATCTTTTTTTAATCGGCCCTTTCCCATCAAAGGGGAAAAACACAGTATTTTAAAACCCCCCCCTTTTTGCTATAATAAACTCAGAAGAATTTGTAATAAACCACTCAAGGCAAACTAAAAAAGAAAATTAAAACTTTTTAAAAGGGAAAATAGTAAATTGGGAAAAAAGCATGCTAATAAAAATTTTTTTTTAATTAACAAATTTTCAGATAAAAAATTTTAGACAAACATACAATGCTGCTCTGGTTTTTTGGCCTAAGTTTTGCAACTTCAAAAAAATTTAAATAATTTTTAAAAATTGAAAAAGCCTTTTGTAATTTTAAAAAAAATTTTT